ATTATTTAATATCTCTTTGATGTTAAAATAAAATAAGCAAAATAGTATTTCATTCAATGACACAACCCCCAGTGCTGGTGTGTGAACTTGAAACTTGCGAACTGTTTCTGCTGTGTTCTGCTGCGATTTCATATCCCTCCTGAGAGTGCCAGTCCCTGCTGTTTGCAGCGAAGTATGAGCATAGTTGATTTCGCTTCCCCTGCTGTTTATGTATCTCAATTTTGGGACTCGAGGGGATGCAAGAAAGGCAGTCCCATCCTAAGTTTTGCTCGACGTGTACACGATTTTTAAGCTCTGGCGTTGAGGTGCAGTATATTGTATTTTTTTTTGTTTTGTTTTTTTACTTTCTCGCTACAGAATAGATAGTTATGTAATGCTGTGCGAAATAACAGTGAATTTTCGTCAGAAAAACTCATATTACAGGGCCCTAGTAATGAAAAAGTGGAAAAATCCAGTCGCTAAATTAAAAAAAAAAAATTCTCTAACATGTGAAGTAACACACCAGAATCCTCTTTCTTTTTGTAGGTCCTTGAAACCGAAAAATCCAATGACGGCAAAACGCGTATGTCCATCTGTGAACAACGCTAGCGGCTAACACGTTCAACTGATTTTCTCCAAAATTGATATTTCCCAACAGATGTGGCTGATGTCAGGGGGGGGGGGGGGGCTTCGCATGAAGCCCCTGGAACATTCTCAAAAGTTTATAAAAATGTTTCCATCGTTTTTGACTAAATTTTATTATTGGATAGTGTGAAGGGCATTTAAGAGAATTGTGCAGTCTCAATTTCAATGAAAAGTCTAATTTTTCGAAAATTGCAAAACTTCAAAATTTTTCAAAACTAAAATATTACTGATAGAGATTTTTGCACGATACGAAACTAGGTGGGGAACATGCAGAGGCACTAGCAGTCATGGAAGGGAGCCTGCTGAGAGGGAAAGAGACCCCTAAAAGTAAATTTTCTCCAGCCTAATAATTGTTAAAATACAAAGATTTATTACCATACCTGAGCTAGCATTTCTTGGTAGTCTTCTTCTTCCAATCTTTCATTTATGTCAAGTGTGAGTCGTTTCACCTTTTCTTTCTCAGCTCTTTCAGCCTATAAATACATAATTGGTACAAGAATAATTGCAATTACAAATACCATTACAATTACCATTACAATTTGTGTGTGAATGCGTGCGTGCGTGGGCCAGTCAGTCGGTATGTGTATATATAGTACACATACAGGTCACTATTCTTTTATCCCAAGAACTGCAAGTGAAAGTCTTTTCTACAGCATGTGTTTTTAACCTTCCATCAAGGTCATGGAAGGCAAGGCCTAATTACACAACGTCTTACTAAATTGTCCAAATTATATTCTTCATCATTTATGAATAAACAGTAGTCTAGAAAAACTGAGAAATAAAAAGACTCTGTCAGAACTATAATAAGAATCAGTATACAAACCTCTTCCCGGTTCTTCAAATTTAGTGCCATTTCCGAGTTCACAGGAACTTCTAAACTTTTGTACTGCTGCTTGTGTCCTTTCCGTAACATTAATATAAAATTAACACTTGACTTTGAAGATTCCTCTTCTCGTAACTGATCTGTAAGAAGAAAAATTGAATCCATAGTACAAAGGACAATAAAATATTAACTCGCCAAAATAACTTTTAATATAAAGATCCATTCACAACGCAAGCGTAAACGTAAGCATAGCGCATAGACATAAGTGATAGACTGAAGTATTCACAATGCCTAACATAAACGTAAGCAAAATATTGGCTGTGAGACATTCTGGTTTACTATTAGTTGGATGTGAGAATCGATTTCAAGGTATCAACTGTGTCCATGGCCCATATGGCGTTAGTTCTTCTATCGACTTCGCTCCAATTTCGATTCTCGATTTTGAGTTACCGTTCAGTGATTGGTTCATTTCTTATGTCTTACTTAAGCATAAGCACAAAAGCTTGAGGTTTATAAGCTTTTAAGTTAACGTGTTACATGTTACGCTTATGCGAATGCACTGTGAATAAGTCCACTTATGGACGTAGTCCTAACTTTTATGTTAACGCCATGCTTAAAATTTATGTTTACATTGTGAATGGGCCGTAAGAGTAATACTTTGGTGAATAATTGAATTAGGATCAATACTATTCGTCGGAGTTACAATGTAAAGAGAGGCGTAGAGAACTTTAAGTCTTGCACAGACTGAGAAAAGAAATAAATTATTTCAAGTGCAGTCAAATGAAAATACTAAACCTTCAGCCAAAGTAACTATTCCAGTCTTAATAGGCACTGACGTACTTACGTACAGAAATAATTAAATACGAGTAACATGATTTAGACAGCTAAATAAGTTTTTTTACAATACTGTACTCTTAACACAATTAAATAGAGGAACAAAAACTCACTCTTAACAGTCTGAATCCATTAAGGATTTTTAACAGTCTGCAGTTTGTTAAGAAAAATCAAAACAAATGGGTTTTGGCTGCAGATGGCATTTTAGTATCCAATTCCTCTTGAAATTGGTATTTCTTATTTCCATGTTTTTTTTCTAATAAGGTGGTATTATGAACATTGCTCATAATAAATGCACATAAAATTTGCTCATTGGCCTAATGTCACTAATAATTATAGTAAAATTCTCTCAAATGTAAATGATACGAGAAAATAAAATAAAAAATAAGGCATACCATAAGTTTTTTTAGCACTTCCTTTTATATGGAGAGGGACAGATATATCAACCTGCTGAGGTTTCACAGTTTCACGCATACGATCTTGAATATTGTCCGATACCATTCTATCAAATGCTGTTAAAAAGTCTTCATCTTCAGGACATTCCAATAATTTTGGGCCAAGTGCAATACCATCACTATCTACAGGCAATGGAATTTCTTGACTCTGAAATAGATATTATTTGAATGTAACATTTCTTATGCAAAACACATTACATATTGTAATAAACATACAATATTATTTTTGTGTGAATGAAGTTAACATAATTTATCTCAATGACAAAAATTATATTAATAATTACAATTTAATTATCCACCACTTGATACAAGAGAGATGTTTCTGAAGATCCAGGAATAACACCTTTATCTTTCAATAGTAATCTTTTTCAATATTATAATCCAAGTTTTTTAAAATAATTAATTAATTTCACATTTATTGGATTGATTGAATTTTAGTTTTCCTTCAGAACAAAATTTCAAAAGCATTTCAATATTGCTTTAAGGGAGTCCAAGAGATTTATTACAAAAAGGAATAAAGATCAAAAAAATGAGCTTAGTTTTGAGCATTTAAAAAACAAACATTGCAACATCCTGCCGAACCCCTCGTCAGAAAGGCCAGAGAGTTCTGGGTACTGGGCAAATTAGCGATGACCACACCAAAAATGTCACGCACCTCGTCAGAGGTCATTTAATATTATATTTTATTTTGCAGTAGCATGTAGAGACAACCCCAGCCCCCTTGTCAACTTTCTTTTTGTCTAATTTTCCACATTTATGAACTAATTGAGTACTTCTGTGGAAGAATGTTAGACGTGACAATTTTATCAAAATATGAGATTTTGGTGGAAAAATGTTGAAAATAGAATCCTTCATAATATAGAGTGGTCAGTTGAGTAACTTCCGTAGGGACTGACAGCACCATGTTTGGGACCCCGTGCTAGTCCCAAAATCCAAAACAATAATAAATCTTTTATCTAAAACTGTATGCGATTATATCATAGAAGAAATACATCAAGCGCCGTTATCAGATTGCATTGTGATATTACTACACCATGATATCGTGTTACTATCCCTTGCACCTGAGCCCACATGCAAAATAAATACAATTTTCTATGTTCAAATTAGTATATTATGTTGTATTAATATTATAGACCACTCTTTATTTATCCTTACATTTCCATTGTACATACACGATTTGCATTTATTATTTTTGTGTATATATGTACATTGTAATAATTCATAGAAACATTTTCTCAGCATTTCAGTTTTTTAGTTTGTTTTTGATTGTTTTAAATTTAGAATTAATTTTTTTCATATTCACTATATTTTTGTTCAAAGAGATCACTAATAAAAATATTGGTCAGTGAAAGAAGCAAATGTGTTTGCAATGAACATAATAATTATAATCACAGAGTCAATATTTATTTTTTATTAACCATAACTGGGCATTGCTTTCTCTAAAAATGTTTGTGTTTTGAAATCGTCTCTGTGATGGGTGTATTTAGTATTTTGAATCATCTTTTAACAGTTGTTCTAAATATTGGCCTTTCACTCAAGTATTTTTCCCATAAGGGAGAAGTCTCTCAAGTCCAAATTTTAAAATTAACACATACATAAGCAGACCAACCAAAACTTGTATCTCAAAGAAGTCTGTGATTCAGAAATTATAAATTCAGAAAATTTGTTGTGGGGTTGAGCTTAGAACTGATGAACAACGGTTTTGTATTTGCACACAAAACAATGGTTTCAATAAAGTCTTGATTAAATAAACACTCCCACATTTCCCTTGTGCAAGAGGATCCTAATCTAGTGGCTTTTGTACTCCGTCCAGAAGGTGTAGAGAAGTTTTCCTTATTCTAGGTGGCTCTAGTTTTTGCCACTTGAAGTTATTTACATTCTTATTTGCAAAATACAAGAAAGAAAATAAATTTACTTTAAACATAAAAGTTCCCAAACATGTGCATTCCCTAGATGCAATTCTTGAAACAATATTTGTATAACATTGGCCAACTGTTACAAGATTATTACAGAAGTATACAAATAAAATAATAAACAACAGAGATACAAACTCTGAACTACAAGTTGATATTTGGGTGGTACAAATCTAAGATGCAAGATGGCTGAGAGCATGCATCTCAGCTACAGTTTTTTTACTTCAGATATCTATATCGCATTCTGAGCCATGGCATCTGGAGAGTACAATTTCACACAGCTTTGCCATTTATCACCTTGGTTGGCAAGGTGCCGCCTCACTGGTAGCAAATGAATTGTCAGAAGGACAGCTGCCTTTTGGACCTCTGTAGTCCCAGCAATTTTGACAGAGTTTTGAGAAACTCAATAGGAGAAAAAGAGCATTACATTGTCTTTTAAACAAATTCGAGATGCAAATTACTAACAGCAGCAAACTATAATGAAAAATGAAACTATTCTAAAATGGAAAAACTTACAATTAAAATTTTTAAAATCCCTGATTTCTAACAATATTCCATGACTTTTCCCAGTTTCCAAGAAACAAGCCACATTATGTTATTGTAAGACTCTATTGTGAATATTTACTTCATTAAGATGTATAAAAAACAACAACAAATATACTCACCTTTTATTTTTATCACAGTATTTTCAATAGATCAAATAAAACACATTTCTGTTACAAGAATAAAGCATAAACTAACCTGACTATCTCCTTCTGACATGTGTGAAGCTGCATCACCATTTCCAGCCCAATCCATGTCACCATCATCCATGTCCCCAGACAAGGGTTCAGTCAAATCCTCATCCTCATCATCATCAGGTTCTCTCTCAACATTGTCACCACAAATACCATCTTCTTCTTCTTCATCCTCATTTAGATCATCTTCCTCGGTTTCATTTTTAGAGAACGCTGAAAACAAAATATTCATATCATTAAAACCTGAGAATAATCTTGATCAAAGGAGTAATGTGAAGTAAGTCAACTCGTAAATATGTATTACCAGTCTCTTCAGGAATAGGACTGCTTGATTCTTCTGGAGCAATCACATTATTTTCTTCTGACATTTCTTTTATTTCAGCAGCTGATGTTTCAGATTGAGGAAACAAAGAAGTAGATTCTTCTAACTTAAGTTTTGCTACAGCTTCTGTGGCTTCACTGTATGAAGTGATGAGATGAATGTTGGGTCGGAGACTAGTTATTGTGTCTTTAAACATGTAGTTAATTCCAACAGGAAACGGCGTCTCTGCTGTCCATACAGGATCAGAGTATTTGAACCAGAAATAGTGCTAAAATGACAAGATATTTCAAAGAACATTCTTGATATCCTGAAGTAAGTTGCAAATGATACAAAATAATATGATCATGGACATTCACTGTTTTTTCTTTTTTTACATGCAATTATACATCCTATATTTTGTAAACAAGAGTGTGGAAATAAATGTGAAATGAATGAAAGTAGCATCAAAATAAACTTGACAAAATTTCATGAGAATACAACAAAAATTAATTGCACTGGTCAAATATAGCTTCTCCAGTGTTCCCATTGCAAATATTTTGGCCAGAATGCATTGCAGTTACTTCACATTTATTTAATTACAGCAGCCAAACCAAGCCTATACACATATTTCACATATATGTATATCTCACATTTATATCACAAAATTTGCATTTTTGATAAATAAAATAAAATACAATAACCACTAATACTTCTTGCAAAATTTCATCCTACAAAAAGCACCTCGTCAACTGTATTTTAACACTCCACTTTTAACTATATCACTAACAAACGGAAAACTTGTTCATTAATTTTATTAATCAATGCAAATATGTTTATAATATAAAATAATGTAATAATTAAATAAACATTTCTAGTTCAGAAGCTAGTGGCATTTTAACGGGCCGTGTATTATTTGTAACAGTTATGCAATATTATTATAAAGTATAGAATATTTGAAAAAAATAGATAGGTACATTTAATTTTTTGATGATACAAATGTTTTAAGGAAAATGGTATGTGCTAAATTGAATTCTGTGTAGTCTAGTTTATCATTACTAAAAGTTTAACACTACAATAGTTGTGATCTATTAATAAATATCAGTAATCGCTGTAGGCTGCAAGACTGCACATAACCAAAAATGGAGCATTAAAAATATTTTAATGATAAGTTGTTAAAAACAATGAAAAACCAATTTTGTAACTTATATGCATTTTGAAGTGTTTAAAAATGTATATACTATATTCAAGAATTTTTTAACAAATCGAATGAGATTACAAAACAATATAAAACAGTACACCATATTCTTGCATATTTATTATTTTCCTTTTCGACACATTCTGATGCCAACAGTCACACTAGACTGCGGTTGCTTATAGTTCCAATATCACTGCACTAATCAAACACGAAATCCGACATGAAAGATTTGTTAAAATCTATTCTTTGTAAGAAGGTACTGAAATAATGCAAATCCAAAGGTAATAGATATTAGAAGAACAATAAAAATATACTGCAGTCTAAGAGTCCATGTGTGACTACTGCAAGATTAAAGAAAAAAATTGGAGCACTTTTTGGAAAAATCTTGTGTATGAATTTGTGGAAAGTGATATTTTGAACAAATGAAACACGATTATTTCAATTTTTTGCTAAGTTTGAAAAATGGATTTTATTAACCCATTAACGCCCAAATTAATTTTGTACGCATAGTGCTAGCTCCTTGTCTGTAACCGCTGTTAAGGCTCTTTGGTGGCATGATTTTGAAAATGACAGTGTTAATCCATTATTATGTTGTTAAATTATACTACTAGAGAGCTCCTATGCGCCAGCTGTTTACATGAGCATTTTTTTTTTCTAGAAGAAGGAGCAAAATCGTTAGACCATAGCTGCATATGCCCCATCAGCTTCTATGAGATTGTGTGATGGTGCCAAGTTTGCTTTGTAGATCTCCGTTTGTTTCAAACTGTTTCATACCAAAGCTGCAAGCACTGATTTTTTCATATTAATTTTGAGAAAAAACAAAAACAAAGCTTGGGTCTAGTCTTTGCAGAAATTGTACAACATTTTCGTATCATTTTTAAGCCAGAATCTTCCTCTTTTTGACATATATACAACATTGCTGAGTTGTGTATGTATAACAAGTAAGTTAACATAAGACCAGAAATGCCCGATATGTCCCAGTATGCCGGAAGTGTCAAAGGCCAGAATGCAAAGTATTAATTATATTTTAACTACAAAATACTGGAAATTTGTTTGCACAATTGCATACATTAAACAACGTGTATAAAGCATCATTCAATTTTAAGTTTTTCTCCTCTTTCCCTTTTCACATTACTATAAGTTTCTTTCTATTCCTTGACTTCACTTATTGAGGAAACATCAGAATATGCATGAAAATCAACTATTGTTAATTATCTGAAACAGAAATGAATAATAGTAATAACAGTAATCTCCACTACTATTTTGCTTCTTTTAGTGTTATGGTTCCAAATCACTAAAGGAAGATTCAATTGTGGAAGCAGGATAATGACCATCAGTAAATGGCCAATGATTGCAAAGGCTGGGTAACCACATAAAAGAAGGAATAATTTCATGTGCCTTATGGAAAAATCAAAAATTTGTCTGAAAAAACTGTTAATGGAGATGACCGCTTAATCAACAACATTTTTGTTTCATTGTATTCAACATCATCTATGTTTGTTTTATTGCTGTTTCATCAGGTTTCATTTCATTTTTGAACTGATGATAGGAAAGAGTATTCAGTTATTTAATCATGCATTTACTGTACTAAGTATCAAAACCTCACTTACTTGGAAGTACACCAAGAATATATCTAGTTTCTTCTTGCTCATACCACTTATGAAATACTGTCCACAAGTTTCCAACAATACACAAACTAGTCTTATTCGGAACAAATTATCTGGTGGATCTAGTGGAGATTGATGCTCATGTTCCCAAGTTACACCAAATGTTATCAATGAATACAGAACCTACAAAGAAATATACATAATGAATTGCAGGGTAAACCACAAATCCCAATTTGAACAGTCTTGAAATTGTAATTAGTCATAGCTCCCTCAAGAGCCCATGCATGCAATACATCAAAATTAATTTGGAATGCGAAATAAAATTGATAATTTAATTCAAATAATAATTTTTTCTTAATAATTAAAATTAGGTCTTGAATTTTTATTGATTAAATTAAAATATAAAAACACGAAAATTAATGAACTGAATTGTATTTCAAACTTCAAATACTAACAATGTACCATAAAGAATCATTAACATTACGATCCCTGCCCATTTCAACAAAGTTGTATTGCAGAGACTCGGGTCTTTAAATTAAATTACAGTAAAACCTGGCTGAGTGGTAATTCAGGGTGCAGTTATTATATTCTACTTAAGGAAGTGTCTTACAAACCTAGTGTCTCACTTACACAGAAATTCACTTACGCACATTAGAATCATATTTTTTCTAGTTACAAACACGAATGTTAAACAAATATTCAACACTTTTATAAAAAACTTTATTTACAAACATGTTAAGTATTACATTGTTTTACTCCATGTAAACTACAAGTTAAAAATTACAATAAAAGAGTTGATTTTGGCACATTACAATCTATACTAATTTCATATTTCTTGTCTCATCATATTCTCACAATTCCTTTAATTTTTCACTAGCTAAAAACAAATTTAACTTTCACTTCATCTGCAAGATATGTACAATGGATTGAATGATGTGTGTTTCTGTGTGATCTGCCTACTGGTTTTCAACAGAATTTTCGGTAAGCATTAGTACTTGTTAATAAGAATTGAAGAACATTTCATAACGTTCAAAAAGTTCGGAAAATGGTATGTGTTTGAGAAATCCAAAAATGTCAAATTTTCAGTTAGCAAATACTAAGAAAGACACGCACTGAGAAACCAGTTTCACGTAAGTAAGTTTTGCATTCTCACAAATACGGGCTATTTATAATAAAAATTTCAGGACTTCATAATTAGTCTCACTAATTATGAAGTTTCTCCTCTTATCAAGATTCAACTGCATAATAAATTAAGAAAAATTATAACTACACTCTAAATATATGTAATTACTACAATAAATTATTGCTTCAATGATTTTACATCTATATTAAAAAGCAAGAACAGAGTACAAAAAAATTCCTTCAAAATCAAATAGAAAAAAATGACACAATTAATATGCACGGTTTTAAATTCTGCTCTGAAAAAATTATTTTCATCATACATCACAGGAAGTATCATTTTTATTACAAATATTATTTTTATCAAAATATAAACTTACCTGAAATATGTTACTGCTCTCCAGCATTCTGTAATTGTACAATTCTCCCAAATATTTGATCATGGCAACTCTTCTTTGATTGTATTTTGGAAGATTCATTTCCATTCCCAACCTAATATCTTCAAGGACACCATCTACAACTTGCGCACCAACTGCTTCCTTTTATTAAAATAATAAAAGAGGAGAAGGAGAAGCAGAAGAAGAAGAAGGAGAAGAAGGAGAAGAAGAAGAAGAAGAAGAAGAAGAAGAAGAAGAAGAAGAAGAAGAAGGAGAAGAAGAAGGAGAAGAGGGAGAAGGAGGAGGAGAAGAAGAAGAAGGAGGAGGAGGAGAAGAAGAAGAAGGAGGAGGAGGAGGAGGAGAAGAAGATTTTTAGTTCCAATCATATTTTGAGTATCTGCGTAATTTACAAGAACTATTAAAAAAGGCAAACACAAAAACTTACTTGGTGGGTAGCTAGTCCAGCCAAAAGACTAGCAAGACAGCGAATATTGAAGTATTTTACTTTAAAGGCATAAGTTAAACACTTCACTGCATACGAATGAGTGTCAGCATTATTCCAATCTAACTTTCTCATTAAACGCAGAACTTTGTCAGTATTTGTTTTCATCAACATTTGATATAAGATTTTACGAATAAATTGATGTTCTACAGGACGTTCTTTAGCCACACTTTGTGTTGATTCAGGAGGATTTACATAATAGTATGCATTTTCTATCATGGTTACATATCGTGAATCTAATGCCATGACAGCTTTCTTCCGCATCATTTGATCCTTGAAATCAGAAATAACAAAAATCAAATAAATGTTTCAAAATTTAAAATATTCCAAAAAGTACAAATGTAAAATGTTTTTACCAAATACACTTTCATTCGTTGATGACAGTCTGGATGCCTAAAGAAGAATCTACCACAGGACTCCAGAAGGTTACAACACATTTCTATGTGATGATGTGTAAAGTCCTGTACAAGTACTTTAACGCAATACAATCCTTCAATTTTTGAATACATTCGAAATTTTACCAACTCACCAATAAAACGAACGATTTTTATTTTTGATTCAATATTCATTTGGTCCTGAAAGCAGAAAACAAAATATTAGAAATATTCTTTAATCGAGAGACAAAGTGTAACAATTTGTTTCATCTGACAACACTAGAAGAACCATAGCATCAAAATAACATGGATACAATTTTTAAGATACCCCATTCTGGGTTTTGTGTGAAGTAATCAAAAACATACAGCCATACAACATGAACATGGGAATTTTGCTATGGGAAGAGAGTGGAGCTGGAATAGGCCTTCTGGCCTAAACCATGAAAGGAGGAGGAGGAGGAGAAGAAAACAGAATAAAAATAATAAGACGAAGAAGGAAGAGGACGAAAAAAGAGAGAATGAAGGAAAAAAGATGATGATTTATCCACTCCTTCAATTCCAGGGACCCACAATAAGAGCTTTTTGATGAAAAATCACCACTTATTGCTGCAGCATTTCAATACTTTTTCTTTACTATGTATGTACATAGTAGGCAAGAAAGTAAAGATAGTTAAAGAAAGATCAACAATTTCAAATTACCAAAGAAGGATGTTGCAGTCCACAAAAGAATTGTATATGCAGTGGTGTCATTATAGACGTGTCAACTAGGCTGATTTCACTCCCCAGATAAAATCTATTAAATTATTATCCATATTTGTATTCATTATTTTATTAATACTGTTTTATCAATATTATCCGACAGATACACTATTGGTCTGTACACCTTTTTTATGCCCAGCAGTAGTTCATTAAAATGCAGGACATCTAATAAAGGGGTAATCTTTAAAGTCTTTGTGGTAAATAATCAATCACTTTTAAAATCATCTTACTTTCAGAATAGTACAATAAAACCAAATCAATAATAACAACAAAAAACAACAACAAAAAATAAATTAAAAGCTGTTCCAATGGCCGAGATTGCTAAGGCAGTAGTGCTGTGGTCGTCTCGGACCAGAAGATTGTGGGTTCGAGTCCCGATGCGGGCATGGTTGTCCTTGTGTGTGTGCGTGTTTGTGATTGTCCGTTTCATCATCACCATTTGCATAACTCACCCCCCAGGGCTAACAACCCGAGAGAGAGAAAGAGAGGGAGGGAGAGAGAGAGAGAGAGGGG